GCACAAAAAAAGCACATGGTTTTGCATTAAATAATTCTAAATACAAATTAAATCAGATGTTATGATCAAACTGTTACAGTTAATGATTAATCATTTAATTATTTACGTCATCAGCAGTTGGCATCAATTGGCCAATTATTATTATTTTTTTGTTGTTGCTGTTGTTTTGCATTACCGACTAAAATTCTAATTGGCCAGAAAAAAATCTCTTTGGCGCATTTGTGATTTTTATTTTTTATTTGTCTTCTTAATACTTTAAAAAGACAATCGTGAGCCAGAATATTGGAATGGTGTGGAAAGAGTCATGGCTCTTCTTAAGACTACTGTAGCAATATTCAAGCATTAGCTGAAAAAAAATGATTCTGCATGAACTAATTCTATAATTTCAGAATCCAGCAGTGGACCTAATATTGCATACCATTTGTCACCCAACGTGTACCAATTGTTCCACCTTATCTGCTGAAATTTCAGCATAATATATGCAGCAGGTAATTTAATAATCAGTTGGAGTTTTATTCAAAACCACTGGGAAATTAGACCTAAGTTTATGCTGAAAGTCCTTTTTCCCTGTTAAATTAGAATTAATGTGTGCTCTGAAAGATCACCAGCAACAAGAGCTGGACTGAAAAATTAGGAGGGAAGAAATGTCCCCTTAGTGATTCGCTCAGGCTTTATTTAAAACAAGAAGAAATTTAAATGCTAATTTAAAAAAGTGTCTAGCCTGCATCTCTAGCATCTATGATTTAACAGTCTAAATGTAACCTGAGAAGACGTGCAGAGATAGAAAGAGGTCTGACTATGTGGAGAGGCTAAGATAGTATAGTCAATATTTACTCTGAGTAATTCGTCCTCACTTCCTTCAGCAAGTTACACAGCTGTCCAGAAGCATCCGTGCCTTATCTCCTTCTCTTCTCCCTCATACATCTCCCTGTGACCACGGTTTTACACAACAGTAAAGTTTTGCTGCTGTTCACAATGCTTCTAGCTACCCACAACATAATAAGGTATACAGATTGGTTATTTTACAGAGTGTGCATGGATACAGCCAATAGAACTGTCAGATGGGAGTGTTGCAAAGAGCATTATTTCTGTTTTGAAGTTATATGTAATGAGCTTGATACACTTACTTTCCTAATGAGTTAAAACTTCTCGTTACCCCAGTGGTAAACAACAGAAGCATTTTCAGGCTTGTTACTGTACCACTTCAACAATGTAAGGTTTGGAATGAGATGCGCGCAGCTCGCCAGAAAATAGGGCTCCCAACCTGCCTACAAAAGATTTTCTGTTGGCATTATCAAAGACACGTTGGAACAGATTAGCTGTCTGTCAAGCCTTCTTTCTCCTCTGCACTTTTTGGCCACACGCAGTCCCTTTGCCATTCCGCCATGCCCTGAAAGCAACTTTCCAATTAACCCGCTGCCTCCCTGCAGCAGTCCTTTGAAGTTATTTTCGCATGGGTCTGTCTCTCTTACATTTGTTCTGCGTTCCTCTGACTGGACATTTTTGGCGTGGTTTTCCCTGCAGTGCTGTCAACACTGAGAGGCCTTAATCAGATGTATTTTTGCATAAGCTTGGGTACGTCTGTCAGTTTTATTGTTGGTGTAGGCTAGCAGCACCATCATTAATATATTCAAAGAAATCAAGAACAGCACAAGTAATTTTAACTCTGTGCACATTTTTGGTAAACTGTCTTTTGAAACAGAGTAACATGTTTCGACTTTATGTTGTAAATAACTATTGATTTTGTTTGACCTAATAATGAATTAGAATTGTGATAAGACCTGGGGAAAATCAGGGTTTTGCCCACCAAGCACTCAGAAGCTGCCACTAAAATATTTTACAAATGATCAGGACGTCATCCATGCTTATGCAGAATCGTATGTCAGCCAACATAACATGCAGTTTTTGTTTGTCTGCTCTGTTGACTATCAACCAACTCAAGAACTTCTTCCTGTGTTGCTTTAACATGAGAGTCTCAAACATACAGATTATCAAGCTTAAAATATTTGCCATGATATCCTTGCACAACAACTTAGACCAAAACAAATTTGGGATTTAGAATTTCACTTTGGCAAGAAATATTCAGCTCAGTTTTTAAAATTACAAGATGTCGTTCCACATCTAACGGACATTGATTGTTTTAATTCCCACCAAATATTAGTAACGTGTTAGGTAGGTGCACTTGCCCTACAAGTATTTTACAGCGCTGTCATATTGTGTAAATCCTTTTTTCTGGTGAAGCTGAGCAAATAAAACCAAAACATGAAAAAGACAGCAGAGATCGTGGGATTTCTAGTTGGAATTATAAGCTGAAATTTGGCCGTTTTTGTCAGTTACTTCCCAAATGTGAATGTGTAATCTTTTGCTTCTTGTAAATAACTACCTAAATTTGCTTCTCTGTAAGGTGACCTTTGATTTGAGCGATGTTTATTTTGCAGTCGTGCTCCTCTCCCAGTGCAGACCTGCTGCTGGCCACTCACAGTGCTTACAAAACATTCCTATCTCGTCTGTCACCCTGACACAGCACTCAAAAGGCTGCCACTATAATAATTTTAATGTGGTGAGGGCGCTTATTGTAGCTGATGTATTGTGCTCTTAAACTTAACGGAGCTTTTATATTCTTTTTTCTACTAGGAAGGCTTCCTTCACTGTTATTAGTTTTTGTAGTGAAACTACCCATTGAGATTAAAGGGTTAAATGGTAAGCTTCATTTCTTAATTTATATCTGAAATGAATAAATAAATAAATAAATAAATAACACCATTTGTAAAGTTGTAAAAATGTGTAGATAGAGATGGGAAAGCTGTGTCCTTTAGAGCTGGATCTGTGCAATGCAATGCAATTCTCAAATCTAAACATCTTACTAAATAATATATTTAAGCACAGAGTGTCTTAAAAAATGACACCTTTTTTCTTTCCTTTATTGTGTTTACATTCAGAAATGAAAATATGTTTTCAAGTCACTTTTTAAGCTATTTCTTGACTTTGCGTGTCAGCAGGAAATATTTTATTGACAGCCACGAATTTACTCGTGAACCGGCAGAAGTCTGGATTCGTACATGATAACATTTTTTTCCAACCACCCTTGTCACAAGTAAGGTGTTGTTTACATGAAATAGTCTGGAACATTTCTTGTGACTGATGCAATTTTGTTATCTCAAAACAAGCATGACAGATTAAACTGCCACAGAGCAATAACACCCATAGTAACACATTTTGTGAAAGCAGCAATTGCATTTTTTTTTTAATATTGTAAATCTGGAATCAGAGTAAAGGTAGACATAATAGAAATCATAACACTATTTTCAAATTAGTAATTTTTTTTGTGTCAATTTTCAGATGGAAATCCCATTTCTAAATTGCAAAAGCCAAAACAGAACTTTACATCATCTCAACAGATTATCAGAAAGGTGGTGCCATTTAAGTGAGGAGCTGTAAGTAGTTCCTGGTATCTGCAAAAGTGGCAAGCAGCAGAGCTGGAACTGATGTAAAAATAAGATTATTCTCCCATCAGTTACTCCGCCTGTCTGTTTGGACTGAGCTAATATCAGTTATGTGTAATGTCAGTGAAAACTCTGAACACAATCTCAGTGTTCATTTGTATGTTGGGTGTGACCAATTTTGTTATCAAATCTACATCGCTGTTATTGTGTCATTCAAACATTAAATGTAGAAAAAAAAAAAACCTTTTAAGCTAAGTGAATTTGTTTGTCACGTGTTTTTTGTGAACATTTCACCTACAACTAGGCTTGGCTTGATTGTGAAATTTTCAACATTCACTGGAAAAAAAATTGTATTTGTACATTGTATGCTAAAATGTGTGGTATTTCCAGCTGTCTTTTCCTTTTTGCAAGTTTAATCAAAATAAAAATGCTTCTGCTGCCATGTAGTATAACTAGGCTAACAGAAAATCAAGCTATCCATTTCATATGTGTACACATAGTCATGTTCAGGACTGTGGGGCGTCAGTAGTTAGTTGGTCAGAGGCGCAGTACAGCACAGGTCTCCTGTTCAAGACACGAAACCATTCAAACACACTAGCATAGCACTCATGTTTATAGATAATTAATATTTTTGCAATGCTGGCAATTAATGTTTTTGCTTTATTATTTTTTTATTGTTCTAAAATATTAAATTATTAAACCCTACTAAATATTTTTAACACACAATAATGAAGCTACTAAATACAGTTTTGAGGTTAACTAATCAGAAAAGTGTCAAATTTTGCACTTTTTTTTTTTCATTTATTCATCTCTTGCCCTGACACTAAATTGCAGTTGCTGTAGAAAGTTCAACTTTGTTCTGATCACCTACACCACCTTGAACCTGAAAAGTGAACAGGACTTTTAACAGCAGGTTCACCTTTTGCATCTCATTCTGAATTTACATGAAGCGGCCCTTCAGTGGGCCATACTGTAGTTTCACGCTGCAGGATAAGAGCTCTCCGTTCTGTCCGGAACTCCTCATTACTGTCACATAGCTTTGTTTACGAGTGAAACCGCTCGCCGCACAGTGTCAACCCTCAGCCAAAAGGTCATGTTTCACATTCCAGCCTATTATACTGCAGCTGCACTGCGTCAACTAGATCGGGCCCAACCCCGATTAGCGTGCATTCTTTGTGTGAAAGTGTCTATTTCTGGTATGTATGGGAATCAGTGCATCTACGTGCTCTGTGTATGTGTTTACCAGTGTTTGGGTTATTATCTCTTTTCCATTAAGATATTGCCTCACTTTAAAGGAATAGTTTTGCCAACCGTATTGTTATTCCTGAAAGACCTTCTCAGTTTAAGTATTCATTTTTCTGGCATTTTTTTCCCCTTCTGCTTTTTAAACAAAAGCTTTCCATTTAATATGTTTATGCCTTCAAGGGAGTCAGATCATAAAGTTTATGCGTTTTCACTGTGCTGCTGATGCATCCTTAATTGATTTATTTATGGAGTGATGAAATTGTAAAATACTCTCTCTCTTTTTTATTTGTTTGTTTTTTTCCCCCAAATCAGAGAGCCAAAAGCTTCCTGGGAATAACTTCACCACTGACTGTAACAGTCCTGGGAACTTCATGTGTGGAGATGGAATGTGCGTCCCAAGTGACTGGCAGTGTAACAAAGTGCCCAACTGCGTTGACGGGAGCGACGAGAGAGGCTGTCGTAAGTTCAAGCTTAAACCCCATTGTCAAGAACTGTTGTAGAGCTTTCTAGCTGTGTCTAAAAGTGCTAATGCCAGATTGCCTACTTAGAGCCGTGTAGTGGTCTTTCAACTCTTGGACCTTCCTCAGCACAAAGCGTTGCAGTCTTCATTGCTCTTCCTACCCGGTCCACAGAGCCACAAGGGCCAGTAGAACCTAATTCTCTGCAGACATAAATTAACTTCCCTCCTCAGCGCTCACATTTCCCTCCCCCACTGCAAGCATCCTACTCCCTTTTCCTCCATCCCTTTAGCCTCACTTTAGTAACATGGCAAAACATAATACCATCAAAGACAAGACCAATTACTTCTGTAGAAATAGGAACACATCATTTTACTCTAAGGCAGCTGTTTGGCTCATTTTTTGATCTTTGCATTTAGCTGGCTCTCATCCCTCTGGTTCGCTGCTCCTCCTTTTTTCTCCCTCCCAACGTACTTTGAGCTCCACGCAAAGATGGGATTGCTGATGAAGATCGACTTTGAGTTTCTAAGACGAACCTGTTCATTTATTTCTCTGTGTATCAGCGTCCTCCTAATGTATCTTATTTGATGGTTTTGATTTCTAATTTTCTTTGTAGAAGCTGTTCTATTGAAAACATTAAGACCACTTCTTAAAGGAGTTTTACTCTTTTTACCTGACTAAATCTGTTTGGTAAGAAAAACAAAATTACAAATGGCTCATCCTCTCTTCTGTCACTTCTCTTCATATTCTGTTCTCTCCCTCGTCTAGCTGTCTTTTCTCCCTTAGTTGTCTTGTGGGCAGTTTAGGGAACAGGAAGACAACTCTTGACAGTGTCCCATAGCGCATCAGTACAAAGAAACATGCGCACGGCTTTGTGTCATCAGTCATTTAAGTCTGCTGTGACTTTTTTTGTACAGATTGCAGATTTTCATCTCGCTTTTAGAGCTGTGACCCCAGCATGTTTTGCCTTCCAGCCTTGGGTAGTCATTAATTATTGATAACCAACAGGAACATCGCACAACGAGTGTAAGAGAGAAGTCGCTTTTAAGCAGCTTTACAGAAATCATTAAAACAAAGACAAAATTATTTGGGAGTTTATAGTTTATATTTGATGGATTGATTGATTTTCTAAATAGACTAGCAGACCCTTCAATATTAATGGTTCATAATAATATTTTCATGTTTTTTTTTTTTTTTTTAGTCTTTCTGTAGCTTAGTAATGACAAGATATTGTATTGTTCCCTCATGGCTAGTAAGTGGTAAGAGCAAAAATAGGTGAAAATTGTTTGATTTTGGTAATTCGCTAATAAAATATTTTTATCAACTAACCCCCCACCCAATTCACCTGTGCTTCCGACTTTAACATTGTAAAAACTAAAACTTGCCCATCTGGTGTGGGTTCAAATCTTAAGTTTGTCCTATGTCTGACTCAGTTTACTTGAAGATGATTTTATTAAGAATAAAAGCAAGCTAGTTTTTTTTCTTTTTGTTTTGTTTTGTTTTGGTTTTTTTGCTGATATTTTGCGAAGCGCCTATGCCAAAAGATCTTCAGCCATCACACTCGGCCTGCCTCTGCTGTCAGGGGACTATTTGCACTTGTTGTAGACAACTGCATTATCTCTTCTGGCGTAAGTAGGCCCTATTATCCCTAAATAGATGGCTAGTTGTCAGCCGGCTGCCTCATGAAAATGCTCTTGCTCCAAAAGGGTCTCTGCAGACACAGACAGACAGATAAATGGAAGAATGGGAAAGGGAAAAGTAAAGGAAGGAGAAAAGGTGCAGGAAGGACTTATTATGATAGCTTCAGCAGTAGTTGTGTCAAGAAAGGTATTATCTAAGGAGGACACAATGCCTGGAAACCTTAGGGCTTCAGTACTTTGCTCTGCAAGCAGAATCATAATTATCTGTCCCCTGCTAAGATGAAACACACACACAAAAACTCATGTTTCAGTATTTATTCAACAGAGAGCCATGACAGGTTGCTGTCAAAAATGACAGTTTGCTTTCACTTTGTTACAACACATATATTTTTTTTAAATATATGTGTATATGTATATGTAATATACTAGTTATTGTATCCCATTGTATCTATCTTTATTAATATCTGTAACACATAAAAAAATTGTGCAATTACTTATACATTTACTCTGCAGAATTTCACCCAGGTACCAAGTTTTTTGAAACGGTAAGAAATTTAATTTTAGTGGAATTTCAGGTTCGCATCATATTTACGATGGCTCAACGTTACATGATGTAACAAGACTCGACGTTGATCAATGAGAGTCGGCAGTCGGCAGTAAGGTTTCCGGTTATCAGTTTGCGTTAGTAAACACTGCATTGGATAAGGAAGCTTTATTAGCTTCTGATGTAGCATCTAAAGCCGTTTCATCTCCTCTGTCAGACTTTTACCCCCAAGGAATACAACTTAGATAAATAAAAATATGAGCTTTAGATAAAGTGAGGGTCTGAGATCTGAAGGGTCCCACTTTACGTGTTTCAGTTTGACTCCGTTGGTTCTGGAACTATGATGCCTACACGCATGGACGGCAAAGCTAAAGCAAACATTGATTGTCTTCCTGATGGAATGTTTTCCATTTGATTGGTTTCTGTCTGTTTACAATTCATAAGACACATTTGTCTTTTAATACGTGTTCTATAGATACATGTCATGCAAGGACACTGAGTTGTGGGAAACATGCAAATATAAAGTGATGCACAGAACTAAAGAAATCATTTGCCTGAACAAAATGCCTTTTTCTGGCTGCAGGGACTCAGTCCTTCCCCGTGGTGTCGGCTGTATTGATGTTTGCAGAATAGGCTGTACTTCAAGTACATGGATGGCAGGGCTAACTGGACAGATTGTTCTCATTATAGGTTTTTCTGCCTTACTACCATCATAACTGTAGTTATAGGGTATTCAGGTCTTGGCAGGATATAATATTTGGACTTGGAAATCATTTTTGAGTTCTGACTCCTCATCAAAAAGGCCCTTGGGTCTTGATAGCAGCTTGACTCAAAATGATCTCTGCAGATCAGATGAAATCTTGCCATTTTCCCTCCTCCCTGAGCCACTTCCATGCGGTTCATTGTTAACAAATTATTCTGAGACGCAGTGTCATAATCTGAAATGTGGCTCAGAGGTGTTGCCAGAGCTATACGGATGGTGATTACATAAAAGTTAGAATGTTTTACGATACATTTTTAATTAAAAACATGCAAATAAATAAAAAAAAATAAATAAATAAAGGTCACACTTAACTTGACTAGACTTGCTTTGAAGCTTGTTTTTGAAAAGTATATTTTACTGTGACTCAATAATTTGCAATCGAATAAGTGAATAAAATTAGTTCCAACATAATGTTTTCATAGTCAGTCAGGATTTAAAGTGTCATTGATCATACTTTACATAAATGGCCTGACTTTAAGTCATTCTCATGTTGGGAAAGCTTTGGACATATTAAAATATATATTTTTTTTCCCTGTGTAACATGTGATGGGGGCTTCTATCTGAATATTTCCAATACCCATTATTGTATTGCATATCAGTATAAACGAATCCTTAGTTGTTGACATCCTTGAAATAATGACATATTTGTAAGAAAAGCCAATTGTGGAGCTGTAGAGTTGAACATGTTTCAGAGCACCCATAAAAAACTTGCCAAAATCCATCTCAATCCAGCAACACAGCTTATGTACTCATATTGATTGTTGTTTGATGTTGCATTTTTAACTTGGGTGATCAAAGTTTAAAGAAGGAAACCATTTTGGCAGTTTTAGCAACGTATTCACATCATATAAGGGTAAAGAGAGCTGGATGCAAAGGAGCAGGCGAGGCAGGCGAATAAAAACGTATTGCTTAAAAAAGGAGTTTCAAGAACTAAAGTCCAGGAGAATCTGTCATAGTCCACCACAAGAGCAACACAAGAGTGCGCTTTTTGTGCATGAACATATATATTTCGTATGCAAAGTTTTCTCCAAATCAGTGTCCAATTTTACCGCAAGCATTTGAACCAGAAGACAGCTGTAGTTGATCCCCTTTAAGCCCATTAGGCAGCAGATTGCGCTGATCTGGCTGTCTCAGACCCAATGAATACTATGGTGCCTCAAGTAAAGGTCAAATGTGATTACATTTTGCTGTCTCATTAACTAAATGTCGGTTTTAAAATCAAGCATTTTGCATGTTAAGCAAAATATAACTTTCAAGTGGTTTTGACACTTGAAAATAACACCGTTGGTAATTTTGTCAGTATTGGTATTTAATTTGAATAAGCTTTCTGGAAAAAGGTCAGCTTGAGTCATGTAAGTTAAGTTTTTCAATTCATACTTTGGGAAGAAGCGATCATCATGTAACGTTAAAGGATGCACTATTAGTATCCTGCTGAGAAAGACTAGAGTTTCTCAGCAAGATAAAACCTTTGAGAACGTTTTTTTTTTTTTGTTTTTTTTTTCTCAAAGGTTTAGCCAAATTTCAAACAGAAGCTTATCTGTACACTTTGTGGTACGTTCACAGTTGATTACCTTTTCTCTCTTCATAGTCCTCGTGTTGCTAATTCACAGTAACAGTGCCTTGCAACAGCATTTAAACCTATTAAACCTTTTTCACATATTGTCACATTATAACTGTATAATTGAATTTATTTTATCAGGATTGTGTTACATAGATTACCATGAAGTTGGAGGATCCGGTATATATCCAGCGGTTCTGTAAGGAGATCAGAGGCGTGTTATAGAACACGTGTGAACAAATAGCAACATGAAGACCAAGAAACACACCAGACAGTTCAAAGAGAAAAATGTATGTGGGTCAGTTTATAAAACTGTATCCCAAGCTTTAAACATCTTAGGAGGTGCTTTTAATCTTTCGTAAGAAAATGGAAAGGGTCTGATACAGCTTCAGTACATGGCGGTCCACCTTACCTGACAGGCTGGGCAAGGAAACATTAATCAGAGAAGCAGCTAACATGAGTTCACAGCTCCACTGAGAATCTGTTGACAAGAAAC